GGCACCATATTTCACCGTAAAACGACCCTTCTCCCATAAAATCATAATCCTCCTCCGAAAAAAATCCCACAAGATGAGAGTTGAACATGAACATCTGCACATCAAGCTCAAACTATAAAACTAGAGGAAACTGAATATAAATCTAAACGAGATATAACTTGCTCCCCCTTGAGGAAAGCACACTTTGTTGAAAGTGAAGTTTAAAAGGCTACAACTAGCAATGCGAAGTTGCTGGCCGAAATTATGCACTCGATGAAGCGTGCCCGAATTAGTTACGATTTATCAGTTCGAAAATCCGAAGGAAACTGAGCTTACTGAAATGATCGTCAAGCATCTACTTATCCAGGAAAAGCTGTATAAGCAGTAATCTTAACTCGTGATAGTACTAGTCATAATAGTCACAAAATAATAGTCAAACTTCGCGTACGATTGTATTTATGGAATACCAAAAATAAAAAAGTGAACAGATATTCACAAACACGTTCATTCGTGAGAACTCGTTATGGTCCAAAATGACGAACCTTATCACAGATCCGTACACTGTACACAATACACTTACAGACCCTTGAAGGAACAACATAATAAATTAAATTGTGAGAAATTACTGATAAGATCACAGCTAACATGCGATGAAAAGCTCGGCAACAGTATTTACACCAAGTAAAAACCTAAAATTAACTTTGATAAACAAAATGCAAACATAGAAGATTGTAGGACTAATCAATCGGTTCTTAAAATCTTAGCTAACTTAACCAAAAACATCAGTAGAATACCTATAAAAAACAAAAAACCAACTTCTTATCATTATTATTCAAACATGTCCGCATTATCACCCTTAGAATTTCTTGAGTATCTCCGATAATGCTGCATATGTTCCTGTAGTGAATCCAAGCAGAGCGAAGCAAAGAAGAAATATATTTTTGGCCCAAATCGATGAGCTAAGTTGTCCTTTAGCGTAGCGTGTCTAAATGATTAATCAGAATAAGATGCTTGTGAGAGAAATGGAAGTCATAGAGGGACCAATGCAATTGGAAGAACGTCTAAGTAAACAAGTACATGGTAATCTCTGCAAAAATATTCACAAAGGTAGTAAGTTGAAAGCTATGATTAATGGAAAATTCGTTGCCCACGGTTTTGATGACTTACCAACAACTCTATGCATGGAGGGAAAAGAAGTGCCATCGAGGCTCCA